CGTTTTCAGAATCCAGGGGAATGAGGAAGAGAAGAAACTGCAATATAATTCAGAGGGTAAAGCTTTGTTTTTTCTTCTCCTCCCTTTCTTTTTTCACTTGCAGTAAAATCTGCGTTGACATTCTCTTTTTTCACCCTCCTTTTGTTCTGCAATAACCATTCGGATTATGAAAGTACACGATGCTTATGTATCTCTGCTTACTGCTGCAGAATTCTAGCATTTCTCTTATTGTCCTGCTTTGGAACTTAATATGAAGGGAAAACAGAAAGAAAAAGAAGAAATATATCCACACCAAGTCAAAAACATATTTCCACTCAAATCATATTAAGTTCTATTACATTAGAAATCAGGGACAAAGAAAAAAATAATGAAGGATAGAAAACTTATTCTATACCCTTTGCACACCTTAAAGACAATAAATAGGAATTCAATCAACTGGTTAATCCTCTTTAACCTTGTTTTTTTCTTCTGGGGAGATCTCTGTTTCTTTTGATCATATACTGGGCGAGTTGCCGATGTGTAATTACAATCTCACTAGGGAATTTAAATAGTAGGTTCTGTACAAAAATGTCAAAATCAAGACCAAAAACTGGATCAAAAGCAGTATCTGAATCCAAAATCTTGTGAGAAGACAAACAAAAGAATGACACACATTAACAAGCACACTGCTATTAGATGTGAGTATTGAGGTCGTACCCTCTTAGTAGGAGAAAGGGAAATTTGAAGGAAAAGGTAGAACCCAGGACACATGGTTTGATGTGTCTGAGATGCTAGAATGTACCGTAACATTCTAGATCAGTAAGCTCGGAATGCAGATCATGGCATGCCTCTTTATAAAACTTCAGGCCGAAATGGCTGCAAACCTAGGAAACTATGTTCAAACAGGAAAGATAAAACTTGATATAGGTATATTGACCCAAGGGACTGAAAGATAGGATGTAATTGGTCTGGAGGTTGTAAAATCTGTATGTGAATCGATAAGAGAAGTTGTTTATAGGCTCTGAAGAAGAACCCTTTTGCAGGGTGGTGGCTGTGAAGGATTAGCAATTGGATTCGGAGAAGGGGACTCGATCCCAAGTGTTTTCAATAGGAAGTTCCTTTCCTGGAAAAAGACCAACAAGAAAAAGAAACATCAGTCTGTATTCAAATATGAGAATGAACATATAATGTATATAGATGTTTTGATACACGCAATAAACAGTAGCATCTCTAATTGCAGTAATCTTTGTCCTCTTATGCCTATATCAAAGTACAAAGAGAAATATAAAACAAAAATTCCCCTTTGTTTCTTGACGCTTGGAACTGATATAAAATTGCTTTGCTTTGATTTTTCATTTCTAATGTTTTGCACTTGATGGGATGAGTTACGATAACATAAGACAAGCAGTTCCAACCTAATCCCTCATCTTGTTTGTCTTGCTGTTTTTTCTTTTCTTTACTATTCAAAAACTTCTTCTACAGCAGGGAGTCAGAGGAGGCCATGGTTTAAATTTTCCTACTTTTGTAAGATATTACTCACATTTTGGGTGAACAGCTGACTCCAAATGCAGAAACCACCCTAGTTTGACAGTTCAAGAAAGAATTTCAGGTGCTTTTAACTGGAAAAACATGGCCATTCAGCCAGTAAACAGCCAAACTGCTGGCTAATATTGCTACCACTTCTGGTGTATAACTTCAAAAACACTAATATGGATTCACATTCACAATTCACAACTTAGTCTTCCTACAACTGAAATGTTGATGGCCCAAAAACCACTGGTTTCATTTTCCTTGACAATGACATATACTTGGAGAATATATTGAGAGCACGTTTAGGATTGCTCTAAAAAAATATATAGAAGTAATAGGTGCTGATAAGTAAGTTAATTAAATATTTAATTCCTGAATAAGTTAATTAAATATCTATATTCCTGAATATCAAGGGTAACAGTACTAATAAAATCAACACTTCGGGTTAATACAGAAAAACTCACAAAAATGTGCTTATTTGTTGTTGCTTACCCTTGTTTATAAATAATCATTAAGTGATATGCTTATTGGATAACCAAACAGAAAAATAAGTCAGGTAATTTATATGCTACTTTAAAAAGGCGCTAGACATAATGTTAGTCCTAAATAGGTAATAACTAGGTAATGCCTACTTAATACGATAACTTCCATCCGTGTCATTGATAAGGTATCTAACACCACCCTCTACAAAAATGGCAGAGGATTTGATAATTAACAAACTTAGCATCCTCAAAAACCCTCTCCAAATTTTATTTTGCTTCTAATTCAAGTTTCGATTCTCATTTTCACCACTATCGTTAATTAGGCATCTAAGCCACCTCAAAAAGAAAAGCATAAGACTTAATAATTGGCAGGCTTAGAATCCTCAAAAACCCTCTCACGATCCTACGATATGTTTGGTTCGTGTCTATTATATTCTCATTTTCATAACTATCATTCAAGTCTATTGTATTCTCATTTTCATAACTATCATTAATAAGGCATCTATTCCACCTTCCTGCAGAAATGACATAAGATTTGATAATTAGTAGACTTAGAATTGTCAAATCCTCTTGAAGTCTTATGTATCTTTAGTTCAATTCTATTATCTTTTCATTTTATTTTATTTATTTAATATATATAATTAGTTATGATTTCATATTTGATGTATACAATTGAACCACTTCATCCATATATTCAATTCCAAAATGATGAATTTGCGTTTCCACTTGTTAATGAAAGAATCACAGAAGCACCTAATTGAATTAGACAAGAAATAACTTGAATTATTCTCATTCAAATTTAATCTCATTTGTATTATATTCTCATTTCTATTTTCATAAATTAAATTTAAACTAAACTCAATACTAGATCTTTGCCCTCATTAATGTGCTAGTGTCTTGAAAATGGGTCAATATTACTATTCTTGTTATTGCTGCTGAATCAGCTGTTAAACATGTCTACTGCTTACTGATAAGTGATATCACTATCAGTATTCAGGAGATATAGTAACTGGTAAGCTCAAGTACCAGTTCCACAGCATTTCACTTTCACTACACAATCAGTATTCAGTAAAAAAACCAATATTTTAAGATGACTTACACTTTCTGAGAATTTTGGGCTTGGAATTCCTGCAGCTAAAGACCTGAAAAGTGGGGTACAATGAAGAGGGGAACTGAACTCCGTACTTGAGGAGGCAGAAACAATTCCATTTTCATTTACTTGTCCATCACAAGTTGTGAGTAACTCCACTGTAATAAGTTTTGAAATTACATCAGCAAAAACAGATGCCATAATTTTGAGATTTTATACCATATTGGTAAGAAAATGAAATAAGTTTTAGATATGCTATAAATTCCAGTACCTTCATTTGTATTTAGGTTGGAAAGAGTCTCTCTCTCCTGCTCGTCAATGCAATTTCCCTTGCCACTGTGAACAGACTGTAGTTCTGTTCCAATTTGCTGATTCAGTGGATCCGTCTCATCTTGAGTTTGTTCTGTTTTATCACCAGAAATATGGGGCATTGTCGTTGATCCTGTACTATATTCAGAGCTAGCGGGGGACTCCTCATATAGATCAGGTTGCCTATAATGTAGTAGTCCATCGTTCAGACATTGTTCGGTAAGAAAACCCAAATGAATAAGATTACTGTTCAACTTTGTTTTAGTTACCTCCAAGATCGTTGACTTCCCTCATTACTGCTCCTTAGGTCCTCTATCAGGTCCTTAAAATCTTCAAGTTGAAAATCAATACCAGAGATTCTATATTTGAGACTTTCATTATCTTTGTTTCGATTCAAGAAATCTTGGAGAACCTGGATATAGATATATGAATGTTGGAGACCATCAAAAGTTGTTAAGTGATTATTTTGTGATTATTCTATCTGGAAAAAAAATTCTGGGTACTCAAAAGAGAGGGTGCTGCAAATTGGGTACTAAACTTCCGGAATTGTATGTAGACATTAATAAAGCTATACACTCTTCCAGTAGAAGATAGACTAGCAGTTTAGCCAGACAAGAAAATTGAGAAACATGAATGTTAAATCAATTTTAGTAAATGAGTAAGTTTGTTCCCTTGTGAACAGATCTTTGTCTCGCTGCATGGTTGGAATATCTCAATGAACTTCAGGTTTACATGAAGTAACTATCTATTATCACCATGTTAAAACACAAGCAGACAAATACAGTGGATGCACTTAGCCGAAAGAAACAAACAAAAGGAAATTTCTTATCACCTTCCAAGCATTGTCTACACTCTGCTCTGAGTTCTCAGTATTAACTTTCAGTGCCAGTGAGCTGAGCAATTCTGCTTGTTGCATCAAAGCAGTTATCTTTGGATCATCTTTCTTGATATATATTCCTTCTCTTTTATTATTCTGAGCTGTTAATAGGACAACAAGAAAAGGTAGCATTAAATTTTATATGAACTTTACAACGAAATGCATTTTCTGTGAACTTAACGAAGAAGGATCAATAACTCGCAGAAACTATAATTTTTCACGTTAAAACCAAAGATACTAAACTAAAAATAAGAAACAATAATCTGTTTCCTCAGTTATAAATGTTTTTTCTTTGATTTCCTTCCGTGATTTCTCAGCCACTGTACTGAGTTCTAACTTTAAATATCTGTGTTTCAGTTGATTTACCATCACTAGTGACATCCTTGACATTGCCAGCATGATGTTGTGCTGCCGAGCTGTTAACCTTGGGAAAGTTCTGAACAATGACAGCAAAGGGGTGTCTTGGGTGTTGATTCATTATCTTTGCACTTTGTTTATGCAATCTGTCTCCGGAATCGCCATTTTCTGTGAGGTCCAAGATGTGGCTTCTCCTGCATTGCAACAAGAAAAGATTCTTACTATATGTAAACAAAATGTTCTCCTCTCCAGATGTATAATAGGCATTAAATAGATACCTCATTTTCTTAAGAGGTGCATCATTTTCTGCTGTTCCATCAACATTGTTTTGAAATAAAATTCTTTTGTTATTTGTATTCATGATCACATTCTTGTTTTCCTTTGCCAAGGCTTCATATCTTGCTCTCTTCTTGCACAGCGTTGAGAATCTGTTCTTAACAGCATTATCGGTTCTGCGTAAAAGGCAGACAAATACGTGTTACTCTCAGGATTACCAAAAATTTTATACCGCAAATAGAAGATTATAGAGGGGAAAAATAAAAAGAGGAAAGCTTTTATGTACCTGCCTGAAACCACCTTTGCTATTTCTGTCCATCTATTACCAAATATTTTTTGAGCCTGCACAGAGTCTCAATTCATGATATTCCAAGAAGATTCAATAATGGGATAAAAACACTCATGCAAGCTCAAAATTAATGGCTGCTATGGTGTTGAACTTTTGAGAGACAAGGGGTGTGGCAATTAATTCTAGGTCTGGCCTACTTTCATTTTTACTGTTTCAAGGACCCAAACACATACTGTCACCGCAACTAAACTATACAGGTTAATGGCAATAAGACTTTTGATAAGAAAACAGAAACCCAGATTCTCTTCCAGAAGAAAAAATACAAAAACAGATGAATTCATTGAGATTTTGAACTAGTTCGCTACTTATCCAAAATCATTATATCAATAAATATACAAAAGGAAGTGAAATCAATTACCTCACACAATAGCATGTCTTCTTCCGGTGACCATCCACCTTTCTTGAAGTCAGAATTCAAATATGTATACCATCTGCAGTATCATATATGGTTGAATCCATATCGGACTAAAGTTTTAACCAATACCCAAATAGCCAAATTGAATGTTAACAAGAGGATTGAATGGACTAAAAACAGAGGACCATTAAACTTTAAGGATTTGTGTATCATCAGTTCACCAACCTTCTTCTGCACTGCCTTGTTGTTTTATCCTTGAATTTGGAAGCAATAATGGCCCAACTGCATACAGAATGAAATCAACAAACTACCAGAAAGAAGAAGAAGAAGAAGAAGAAAATTTGACCCAACAAAGATAATCAAAATAAAAGAACTTAATCAAAACGGAATCTTACTTGTCTGTTCCATGCAAACTAATTTGCTCTCGGAGTATATCATCTTCCTGCAGAATCACATATACCCATCAGATAAGAAGCTCATAAAAGAGCATCGGATATCGATTATCCATCATCGATTATTGATTATCGATTATCGGATAGAAGAGAAGGAAACATTGAAAAACAAATAGAGGGAGAAAGAGACCTCCTGAGTCCAGGTAACTATATGGCGTTCCTTCTTCTTGGAATCTTCACTAGAACCGTTCTTCTTCTTTGCTTCCTGCATCCTCCACTAACTTATTTATTCTTATTCCCTTCGGCTCTCTGTGGGTTTTCTAAGACGCTCCTTCCCTTTTATTAAAACCCAAGTCTCGCATGCTATGCCCACCTCTTTATGCTCATCTCATTATTTAAACAAAACCCAGTAAAAAGGGGGGAGCTTAAATCTTTTCCCCTCACTTTTCTCACTAACCCACTGTTTGGTTCAAACGGAATCACGAGCTGCTCTCATGATCTCTACGACGTGCTCCCCCCTCCCCGTACCCATTAAAACCCACGAAGAAAAAATCAAAAGAAAATTCCTCGGATTCTAAATTTTTAACCCAAAAATGGTCGTCGATGGAGACGGTATCAGGAAAGCTTTGATGGTGTTTTTCTATCTGATCACGAAATCCAAGAAATCTCGTATACCTAATGCGTATATATCCGCGTTCTGGGTCGACGAGAAAAGCGACGTAGATCTGTGTATTAAAGATTTTGGGTATACAGATTCAACGGAGATGGAAAAATGTAGAGATTGAAAGGAAGGTTTGGAGAAAATGGGATTTGGCTTTTGTTCTTTTGTTAGTTTATGAATCGAAACGAGTGAAAGTAGAGTGTATGTAATGATCCGATTTTAAAATTTCTTCATAAAGAAAACTTTTTTTGAAAACTTTTCTCTCTCTAAATTCATTTTCATTTTCTTCACATGAAAAGAAAATAATTTTAATCTGGGAAAAATATATATATATATATATTAATTTAAATCAACGGATTCATGCTTGAGTGCGCGGGCATGAAGGCGAGTTTGAAAAACCAAACGCTGAATTCCATGCCACCACCCTCCCCATCTCAATGAATGCTCTTCATGACTGTTCCCACACTCTCCATCATAACCAAATTAATATTTTACTTCAAAAATTTTATTAATTAAAATCCATTTTTTTATATATATATATATTTATGAAAATTTACAGAACCATAATTTTAAAATTTTTGAAAGTAATTTCCTTTAAAAGGGTGCAACACCATCTTCGTGAACTATATACATATATATGTATATGTATATATACTAACCTTCCCAACTCACTAAATTTTAAATGCTCATAATTTTTCTTCTTCAATTTATGTTTTGGATATTTTTATGATCCAACTTAAATTTTGTAATTCAAGCGTCGTAAGAATTTAATGGAAAAATACTAATAACAAGAGAGTTCTAAACGGAATCTAAAATATTTTCTGATAACGTCGACATTATAATTTAATTTTTACTTAAAAGCAAAAATACGAATTTTATAAATAAACATGTATAAATTTTTTAGATGAAATATTTGGGTATTGTAGTAGTTGGTTTTTAGTAAAATATAAATTTAGAAAAATAAAATTTTTAATGCTTTGAAATGTAATTTTTGGAATTTTTTTTTTTTTAAAAATACATATTTTGGTAATATATTATATTTGAAATGTTTGATTAATGGATTCAACCAACTTCCAAAAATAAATTAAGGCTAAGTACTAAGTACCAAGTACCAAGTACAAATTACTCCTTTCTATTTTTTATTTTGGGTCATTTATCTTAATTTTTAAAAAAATTTAGTAGGCACCACCCTATTAATATTGTCAGTAAAATTAAATGTATATGTATATATATATATATATATGTTATGAATTAATTTTATTTCCATATGTATTATTAAAAATATTATAATTTGGGTATTTCATTCCATTGTTGTATCACACGGTTTCTACTGTGTGGAACCTTGAAAAAAATATATATATATATATATTAAGACAGAGAAATTTAAAAAATTAAATTCACAACTTTTTAGTCCCAAAAAGTCAAATTTTATGACTTATATACAATGAAAATTTATACCCTCCGAAGAGAGTGATTAATACTAATTCACAACACTTAATAATAATTAATTAATTAATTAGTTATTGTATAAGTAATTTAATAATTAATATAATGAAATATGAATAAATAAATTGTAATAAAATTAATAATAAACAATAAAATCCCTTTTGGTAACTAAATATTCTTAAAATTAATTACATACTACAAATAACCAATTAATAATATTAATTCAAGATGATAAATATAAAAAGAAAATCATATAATATATGTGTATATATAATATATAATATAATATATAATATATATATGTATAATATTGGTCGAAGCAAATATTCTCCCAATAAAGTGACCCAAACCTAACCTTATTGAACGTTACCTCATACGATCGGCTTCCATTAATTTCAAACTTTTTTTTTGTTACATATAAACTTCACAATCTTTTTCAAAAAAATATGAATAAAAATCACTTTCATCAACGGCCATGTGGGTCTAATCTAGCCGGCCATACCATGCACATACATACATACATACATACATACATATATATGTATAATATTCACATAGTATGTAATGAAAATCTAATTTCTTCGTGTACCATTAGAAAATGCAAATAATTCCTTTTTAATTTAAATCAATTTAAATTAATTTATTGTATATTAAATATTAATTCATATATATATATATATACATATAAATTTAGACTTACGAAGGTGCTTAAGTAAACATTTAACCTACCAGTTGGGCGTGCCAGGTGGACAAGACGAGGAGACGCCACGTGGACTGAAAAGACATGGATGAATGAAAGCAATCTTATTCACCTTTTTAAGATGCTGATAAAATGGTGGGGCCCAAAACTAAAATTAAAAATAAATAATTAAATAATTAATTAATTACAAAACTCCCACGTCATTCGTCTCTGCAAAATCTCCCGCCAAAAGAGGATTTTGACTAATTACATTTTAAAATAATTAATTAAGATCCTTTAATTTTAAGTATTTTTATAAATATTTTTTTTTTGTTTAATTTAAATTATTTTGCATCTTATTGTATAATTTAAAAATCCCAATTCACTAAACTATATATATAAAAAAAAAATAAAACTATATAATTTATTTTAAAATAATTATATTATATATGAGAGATAAAATTGTTACTCAAGACTTATGACTTAGTGGAGTTAGTCAGTTCAGATTAAGTTAATTTTAATTAAATTTAACGGTCGATCTTAAATTTAGAAGCAAAAAATGTGTTCGAAATCAAACCATTATATATACAATACATATGTTTTGAATTTCAATTGAAAATATATAATATATTTAATTTGATTTATATATAATATATATACGACCATGTCGAGTCGAATCGAGGTATATCAAAAACTAAATAAATCAAAAATAATAATTTGGTAAATTAGCTCCAGACCAATAGCGGATTCGAACTTGTATACATAAAACTAAGTTTAGTGAGTTCATAAAATTAATTCAAATATAACTCGTTATATTATGTAATAATTTACTTTATTTTCTTTACAACCGATAGATACTTTTATATGAATAAGATATTTTAATATAAAAAATAATAATGAATAAATTATATAATCTGAGTTCTTTCTATAAAAGTTATTGAACTAATAGAATTGTACACTCATTATTCAACTCGAGTGAAATATACTATAATGTACTGAAATTTTATATAAATAGACGATTGATATTTGAAGATCTTATGAATGTATAAAACATTTTATGGGATATATATGATCATATTCTATATAAGTAATGTTCATATAAATAACACTATTTGTTATCTTTTTTAACATCACGTTAAAGAGTCATGATATTACCATACTATTACGATAATTTTATATAAGTTTGTATGACGATTTATCACTATTTTAAGACTATACTAATATGTTAAAAAAATGATCACTTATATTAAAAATTATTGCAATATAATTATATATATTTAACTAAACAGTTATAAAGTGGAATTGATGTCGCAATCTAGTACTTAACATTCATAAGAGGACAAGGTTACGTATATATGCTTGAGTTAATAGATACGATATATAGAATCTTCGAGTTAAGAAACTTTAATATAGTGTGTCAATTATAAAACATTAAATTAAATTTAATAGATATTGTATTATATGATTAGGCATGATATTAAGAAAGAAGTATGTAGTATGTAAATTATAAAAGTAGAAATGAGAGTAATAAGAATGATAGATACAAATATATATATATATATATGTATGTATGTATACTTTTCTTTTGTTGGTTGAAAGAAGGAATCTAGAAAATGTTAAAGACAAGAGATGGGAGAGAGTCGGTGGTAAATGTCCCACAACCAGAAGCAGCCATCAAATATCAAAACAATCGACCCAGAAAAAGATCAACCCTGTGGAACCCTAAACAAAAGTTCCATTGCTTATGGCTTTATATACATATATATATATATATATATAATATGACTTTTTTAAATGAAACAACTTTTAATAAAATTGAAAATCAACTTTCTTTTTTTTTTTTTTTTCAAAAAAAGAACAAAGAACAAAGAAATAGTACACCCACGAGAGGGGCTGAAACTTTTAAAAGAGAAGAAAGATAAATTGTTTGATAATTAATCTCCAATTAATATTTTCTAATCTCCAATTATTTCTTTTAATTGAGAATGAAACAACAATTAATATTTGACTATATCACAAGCCAATACTACCCTACCTATAGTTGTCCACCCTTTAAATTGCTTCATAATTTTGTTTCTATATATCTCTCTAATGAATTACAGAAGATGATATATATATATATATATATATATGTATATAATTGATCGCAATCTTTGACATTTTTATTTGTCAAGATGATTGGACCCACTAATTTTAATTAGGGTCGCCGTATGATGTGATTAGATTAATTAAATTAATTGAAACAATTTAATCTTTGGCCTTAATTAATAAGTTTGCCTTCATTGTGAGCATCAGGATGGTCCTAGTTTACCTAAATATCTTGTACTCTCTCTCTCTCTCTCTATATATATATATATGTATGCAATCATATTTTTGTCATATCAGTCATCACAGACAATATTATGATAGTAGTAATGTTAATTGCATTCCAAAACTAATGTTAATTAATATATTGGTGTACATATATATATATATATATGTATGTATATATTAATATGGTTGAGTGATCTGCCACTAAAATTAGGTTTTAATTAATTATTCTGAAGCAATCAATTAACTCGGCCATGGCTACTAACCCTAATTTCAAAGTCTTAACCCATTACACGATGTATAGTGTAGTGGTGGTCCAAATATTAATTTAAACAATGTTGATTAAGATAATGTTTAATTATAATTAGTAGTGTGAATTAGACATATAATGAAAATAATAATATATATATGTATGTATGTATGTATGTATGTATGTATATAGGGGTCCCTAACAAAAGAGACTGATTGATAAAATTTCGAATTGCTATGGCCAACCCCTCATGGACTTTGCAGGAATGATTTTGACTAGACATGCATATTGGCTTGCTTACCCCCACTCTCCACAATGAAATTTTTATAATACATAGAAAAGAAGAAAAAACAAAAGCTAATTATATGATACATGTATATATATATATATATATATATATATTAAAATTTAGATTTTTCATGACCCATTATAATCATTCTCTAACCCTAATAAAATTTTAAAGTTTTTTAATTACCCATTTAATTAAATCATGCATTTACCACAAAAATGACCATTTTAATCATCTTGTTCATATATATACACACATACTATATCCACGAGTTAAACCCAATGTTAAGAAAGAGAAACCCAAATCCTAGATGGGTGAACTAAAAACATGAGATTTCTTATTTTACA